ATCCCGAAGGATAAAAAGGTTTGAATTTTGTTTGTGAGTTTTAGTGAAGTGATTTGAATTTGTTTGGTGATTCATGTTGCACTAAATACTATGACATAGGAACGAATGCGTCACATATCGCCCCTAGATGAGACGTACACTAAACATTCTAGACAAGCGAAAGGAGACCCCCCACTCATCATTTCCCATGTGCTTAAGGCTTGTAGGGTATAATGTTCATCGTGTTTATTAGATGAGTTAGAAGGTGTTTTGAGATGAGAAGTGAGACGCACAGAAAGGTCTAAGGAAAACTCGGCCCTAACGTTGTCATGCAAAGTGGTCATAAAGTTGAGATGTGAAAAAAGATTTTATCCTAATGTTAGCATGCAAAATATGTACCTAAGGTTGAGGTTAAAAGGGACTAGCCTACTTGTTATCATGCATGAATTAAACTCCAAATATCTATCTTACTCCAAATTTAATCGGAAACTAAGTTGGAATAAGAACCCTAAGGGAGCAGGCAAAGACAAAGCAAAAACAAGAAAACAAGGCTAAAACAGCAGCTACAACAGCGCCTCCTACACAAAACAGCAATAAAATCCAGCATACAAGCAAGACAGTCTATAACAGCACATATTTCAACACAAAAGCAGGTGTAAAAAGGCAGACAGCAAGCAAGGCAAAGATAACATGCAAGTTCAGAAAAAGAACAGATGTGAAAACAGGCAGAAAGCAAGCTTAAATGCAATGAATCATAAAAAAACACCAATCATGGACATGCTTCAACAATCAAACATAATCGATCAACAACAATGCATCAAAAAGAATCATCAAGATCAACATGTTTTTTTCAAATTAAATTGGACGATCGACCGATCAAATAAACGCGCGACAAAGCGGAATCGGAAATAAATGCAAACGTGCATCAAACATCCAGCAAAGCAAACATTCAATAATAATCAACTAATCATGTTATAAGCAAACAAGTCAAATGATCATTCATCAATCAAGCGACATTAACATGTTATGCATTCAAATGGGAACCGGATGCTACACGTTGAAGAATCGAGATCAAACATTCAAGAATGATGAAATATGTCAAAAACAACCCACATAAATGCATCAGATCAATCTATGAAGTTTACATGTGAAAAGGATACCAAACAAACAAGAAAAATGCAAAAACACAACATTCTGCTCATGGTAACCGGTTACTCATATCAGGTAACCGGTTACCTGTTGTAAAAACAGCCTGGAACGTGAAAATTTATGAAGGGTAACCGATTACCCAATATGTGGTAATCGGTTACTACTGAGCAGAAAACAGAATATTAGCTTTTAAAATCAGTTTTTAACATCCAACAACTTATCCAATCACTCATATGAACATGTTATCAATTAAACACGAATTTAACATCAAATATCAATGATGAAATATCATGTAAACACAATCAAACACTGAAGTCACAAATCACCAAGATCCAAATCATCAAAATGGATCAAAAAGCAACAAAATCCATGGATCTACACTGTGATTATTCAAATAAGCTCAAAACATAATTGGATCTAAAGTTACCAACCTTCAAAGCCGAGATTTACTTTTTGTGAGTGTTGATTCACTTGAAATTAACAGATCCAAGCTAGAAACCCAGAGAATATTCAAGATCCAAAAGCTTCCTTATGGTAGAAATGAAGAATAGGTAAGATCAAGCAAAATTGACTATAAAAAGCACTTTCAATCTAACTTTCAAAATCAGATCTCAGTTCAAACGAAAATTGAATGGTGAATTGAAGATAATGGAGATGAATGATGGAGGTTTAGCTCTAAAATTCAAGGATTTCAATGAAGAATCAATGAATTCAAGTGGAAAAAGGCTTAATGGAGGTTTTGAGAGTGAGAAAAGTTGAGAGAATTTTGGAGCAAATTCTGAAATTGAGATGAAAAATGAGAGTGAAAATGGTGTGAATCAGTGTGGTTTGGAGCAAATTCACTTAAATAAGCTCTAGGTTATGAACAAAAATGTGGTTTGGAATGTGGGTTAGCATTTGGAATGAAAATTAGGAGTGGAATTATGAATGGAGTGTTTGAAATTTGGAGGGAAATAGTGAAAATTGAAACAATTCTAGATCCCTCCAATGATGATCATGTGAAATCAATGGTTGAAAATGATTGGAAAACTTGCAATGCTGAAAATTTGAATTTCTTGGCAAAATGCGCTTGAGGTAACCGGTTACCCATATGTGGTAACTGGTTACCACATTCAAAAAATATCCAATTTGGCGCCAAATGGAGGGAATCCTATATAATCACTTGTTGCCACCTGTTATAAGCTCTGTTAAGTCTCTGAAACTTGCACTTGGATATTATGATTGTGAGAATGCTTGAGATAGCCTGTACACCATCTCTTGAGCTGAAAATAACCTGCTGAAAAGAATAAAATTGACTGCTCGATCGCTGGACAAAATAAATGTCGGAGCCTTTGATGCTCGCTGTTTGAACTCTTGCAACAAAAGGGAACCCTGAGCCACATAAATACCTTGATCCTATGTCTCGAGAACCAATGTTATGATATGCAGAAATGCAAAAATGCAGAGAAACCTAAACCAATAAATCCAGAAACGATGAGGCAAATTTTGGGGTGCTACAATTGTGACTAAAATAATATATTGCATTTGGAGCTATAGGAATGATGTAGTCTTTGACAATATTGTGGATAATAATGGTGTAGTTATAAAGATCATTGATTGTGTGGTGTATAAGGGATGACAACATAGTAAAGTTAGAAGTCATCTAGTAAAGTTGATGATGTAAATAATCTTGATTGGTTGGTTGGATCTTTGGGATCACCTGTTTTGTAATTGCTTTTCTGAATTAACATATATATTTGATTAAAAAAAAGATAAAAGTTATTTTTAAATTAATGAGTGGATTTTAATTTTTTTTTAAATGGGAGCTAGTGTTTTTTATCCAAATAGTTTTATAAATAATGTCAAAAATTATGTTACTAATATTTTTATTTTAAAATTATTTTTAATTTAAGATACAATATTTCTTTAAAGATAATATATGAAAAATTAAACTATATATTATTGAGATAATCATTTTATATACGTTATTAATGAAAAATATTATTTTAAATTGACGAGTGAATTTTAATATATTTTTTAAATGAAAATAAATATTTTTTATTTAAATATTTTTATAAATAATATTAAAATAAAAATAATACTACATAAATTATTTTACATTCAATTCACTTTTAATCAAATATATAAAAAAGTGATCTATATATTCTTGTATGTATTACAAAACAAAAAGTGAAGGGTAATTTTCTTGTATGTATTATATACAAGAAAATATACCCTTCATCTAAATATTTTTATATATGAAAAATTATATTTATGATCTATATCTAAATTAAAGTATATTTTTTTAATTAATAAACGTTTTTTAATAAAACAATATTTTTTTCTATATCATTATTATATTTTAAAAACAAATACGTAATGTACATATATTTCACTAGTTTGTTTCATTTAATAAATCAAAACAATATTTTAAGTTGAAATAAAATAATGTCATTTAAAAAATATTTTATTTTATATTAGCTATACATATAATAATATAATTAAAATGCCAAAGAAAAGATGATTCAGTTTGGGTTGGAGAAAGTTCACATGCTTGTAAAACAATGTACTTCAATATGACGTAAGTGTTTGCTTTCATTTTATGCCCTCACTAGTCAGTCACCGACAACTCCCCTAATCTACCCCTCGTAATTACCATTTTACCCCATCCTTCAATTCTTCAACCTACTCTCTTATTCCACCGATTCTCCTCCCACCAAATCTCCAAACCCAATTCAAGAAATCTAAAACACCCAAATAGCTATTCAATTATTATATATATTTATAGCTGCTCAAATATTATTAGAGTTTGGTTTTTTTTGAAATAAACAAAGCCCGATCAATAAGCTCTGATATCATATTAGAGTTTGACCTAACACAATCTTATAAAACCTATTGGTAAGATGATGTATGTCACTTTATATAAACTATTTCAATGCTCCATCTCCAACCAACGTGAAACTTTAGAATGTTTCTAATAATAATAATAATAATAATAATAATAATAATAATAATAATAATAATAATAATAATAATAATAATAATTATTATTATTATTATTATTATTTATTTACTTATATTTTTTACGTAAATTTAATTTGTATAAATATTCAATTAAATCACATATAAATATCAAACTAACATTAAAAAAAATAATTTTATAATGATTTAATTCTATAGATATATAAAAATATTTTAATGCAAAAAGTTTAATCAGTTATAATAAACAATTAGTGTGGAAGCTGTCAAATAAAAATATGTCACCTAGTGAAATAATATAGCGCTATAATATATTTTAGAGTTAAATATATTTACGTTTCTCTTAAATATTTTAAATATTTTTTAGTTTTTTAAAATACCTTTTTAATGAATATTTTATTAAAAAAATTTATTCACACTTTTAATTTATTATATTAAAATTGTGTTAAAATTATCATTAATTCAATCGTTAAATGATAAATTATTATTAATTATATTATTAAATTTTAAAAACTGTTGCTTAATTATTTTTAAATTAACTATTTAAAATAATATTTTAAGAGATTAAAAATAAAATTTAAAATAATCATAGCATATTTAATTTTATTTTGGGTCTCCGATAAATAAATAAATGAATAAAAGTTGTGATTAGGTGATTAATCAATGTGCAAGTAGGTAAAATATATACTTTCATATACTCATAAATTAGCTGCCAAGTCTTTTTCTATATCTATTTATTATTTCCAAAAATAAAATACTTTATATATTTTATATTTATTAATCACTTGTTACCTTGTTCTTCACTCAGAAATGCACACCTTATAGCTGCAAAGAAACGCCATAGAATATAACAACACAGTTCGAGATAAAATACAGATCCAGCTACATTCTCTTCTCATCTTTGATACAAATCCATGGCTTCCAAATTGCTACTCATTGGTGTCTTTGTTCTTGACTTGATTGCTTTTGGACTTGCTGTTGCTGCTGAACAAAGAAGAAGCACTGTGAGTAATTAATAATCACTTTTCAATTTAAGTGTTTTTGTTTTATGTAAAATCGAAAATTGGAATCTGGGTTTGTGTCAAAATTTGGTTTTGGTTATGGGTTTTGGAGGACTTGGTGAATCGTTGAAGGTGATAAAAAAAGTTTTCGTCTTTTTATTTTTTGTTTAGTTTTGATTGTTGATAACTTGTGAAAATCTGGGTGAAGCTTGAATCTTTAAGCTTTTGTTTTTCTTAGTGTTGATTAAAGATTGTGAATTTAATATTGAGTTTATCATTTGTTAGCTTAAAAGGTTTGTGATTTTTACCATTGAAACTATCTGCAATTGCTTGTTTTTATGTGACTTTGTTTGTACCTTGGCTTTTTACATTCGAAATTTTAAACTTTTCTCTCTTGAATCAAGAATTTAATTGTTGGTTTAATAGGTTTGTGATTGATTTTGTGTTTGCAATTAGAGATCCAGATCTGTTAACAAGATGAAGTGTTGTTGTGAAACTTCAGATCTCTCATTTTCTCTTTCTTTAGTTAGCATATGTTTGGTTCTGCGGTAAAAAATTGATTTTGTAAAGTTGATTCTAGTTAAAAGTGATTTGTTTGAATAGTTTTATGCAAAATTGAATTGAACAGTAAATTTCAATGTAAAAATCACTTTTAGACTCAAAACTTACAGATTATAGCTTTAAGTAGAATTAATTCCGGAGACGGAATCAATTATACTTTAGAAGAGCCAAACACATCAAAATCATTTTAAAATCAATTCTACACCTACCTCTAAAATTGCTTTTAGTTGCTTTTTCCTTTGCTCATATATGAATTTATGATTATTTACTTGCTTTTCCCTAATGTCAACTAAGAATTGCTTAAAGAACTAGGTAGTCAAAGTTCTTACAATCCTAGTCAATGTAACATATAATACAAGTAAAGAATTCTTACATTTATGGAAAAAATCATATCTCTGTTTTCATTTGGTAGGCCAAGATTGTTCCAGACAGGGATCAAGACTATAACTATTGTGTCTATAACTCCGATATATCAACCGGCTATGGTGTTGGAGCATTTCTATTCCTCCTTGTTAGTCAAATTGTCATAATGGTTGCCAGTCGATGCTTCTGTTGCGGGAAGCCTCTAAAGCCCGGAGGCTCAAGAGCGTGTGCAGTCATTCTTTTCATAATCTGCTGGTATAAGTCTTAACATAATCTAAATATTTCTGATAATTTTATATATTTTAAAGATGATCAATGTTGTTTAATTTACATATATAGCATTATAGTCTTTGAAATTGTAAGAGCCGGTCAATTTAGTCTCTCAAATTTGCCAAATAGCTGTTTAATCCCTTAAATCGAACAACATCAATCAATTCAGTCTTTTTCATTCGTTTTTTTAGATTTTTACCAAAGAAATCTTTGACAGAAAGACGATTGACTGACGCTTTTTCATTCGGCCCTTAGAATTTTGAAGACTGAAATGATTGATTTCGAACTTACAACACTTTGCTTTTGCAACTCTATCTTTCAGGGTGTTTTTCTTGATAGCCGAGATGTGCCTATTGGCGGGATCAGTTGAAAATGCTTATCACACAAAGTACAGGACCATCATTGTGGAGGATCCTCCTTCCTGTGAGATGGTAAGGAAGGGAGTTTTTGCTGCTGGTGCCGCCTTCATTTTCTTCACTTCCATCATTTCGAAGTTCTATTATATCAACTACTCGAGTGCGAGGGAAAGTTTCCAACCATATCTTGGAGGTGGTGAGACTGGCGTCGGGATGGGAACCTACAAATGAGCTTGTTAGTCGTGTTCTTGTCTAAAATGTGACTGTATCTGAAACTCGATTCCGGAACATTTTCTTGATTATGTCGCGTTTTTTATGTTTACAGTTTTAGAGGCTATACTAGAATGTATAAGTTGTGTATGTTAGTGATTTTTCTTATTGTTGTTTGTTACCTATTGTCTTTTTGGGGTGTTCTTTGTCATATACTAGTATATAAGTATCATTATATCGAAGCAATTTATAAGAGCTAATGTTTTGTTACATTTTTGGGCACTTGATTTTTTCTTGAAGAGTTCAGACATCTCATCCCAAATCCAAAGATAGTGAGAGTTTTTGAGGTGTGTTTCTAGAAACATTTGTTTTACTTGTTTAATTTTTATTAAGTTCTTTATAATAGATCATAACAATTGTTACTTGTTGGGGAGGTTACAATTGGTTATTAAGTTCTTTATAATAGATAATTGTACTAGATACAATTGGAAGGAGTTCCTATCTAAATAATTGAGTTTTGTGTAATCGGTCTAATGTTTATTTAAAACAAAGTGAAATATGGATCTCGATCCACTAGAAAAAATTTTGGTGAGATTTTTAGAATCAAATGGTGAGAGTCATTTGTTTTGAGTAAAATAGTTTGAGCATATTTAATTATAGAGCTAATTGAATATGTTTTAAGTTTTAATGATACTGACATCTTCACAATCTTTTATGTAGATTACCATGACAACAAACACTTCTAATAATATTTTGCGATCAATCTTTCACAAAGAAAAATTATTTGGGACAAATTTTATGGATTGACACCGAAACTTGAGTATTGTCCTCAAACATAAAAATTTCACCAAACAGTGTGGTAAAGGGAAAGACAATGAAGTTTTCATACTCAAACCTACTGCTCGTGCTTCGAAATCTAGCGGAGGTCTAACAAAGGCGGCCACTTGCTTCCATTACGGTAAGATCGGACACTAGAAGTGAAGTTGTCCAAAGTAACTGGAAGATCAGAAAAATGGAGTGGAGACTTCAATTTCAGATATTTTTGTTATAAAAATAAATTTATCCACTTCTACATCATGGGTATTGGATACTAGATGTAGCCCTCACATTTGTACTAATATGTAAGGACTAAAAACGAGTAGAGAGTTGACAAAAGGAAAAGTTGATGCTTTAATTGTATGAACTTATATATTAACTTTACCTAATAGTTTAATAATTCAGTTAGAGAACTATTATTATGTACCAGCAATTAGCAGAAATATTATTTCCGTTTCTTATTTGGAAAAGTTTAGTTTTTCATTCATAATAAAGAATAATTGTTACTCTATTTATTTGAATGATGTATTTTATGTTACTGCACAAATGAACAATGGACTATATACCCTTGATCTTGAAATGTCAATTTATAACATTAATACTGAAAGGATGAAACCTAATTAGTTAAATCTAACTTACCTTTGGCTTTGTCACTTAGGCCACATAAATGAGAAACGCATTTTCAAACTCCATAAAGATTGACTTTTGGACTCTTTTGATTACGAATCATATGAGATATGCAGATCTTATTTAATTGAAAAAATGACAAAGTCTCCATTCACTGGAAAAGGTGAAAGGGCTAATGATCTTTTGGACCTCATACATCCTGATGTATGTGGACCATTGACACACCAGCCAACAGAGGTTTTCAGTACTTCGTCACATTTAATAATGATTACAACAGATACGAAAGTGAGAAAAATACACAAGAAGAGGGATTAAGTTGTGTATGATAAAAGTGTTTCACTTTTGAATATTTACTTAATATTCTGAACAATGTTCAGAATCTAATATCAAAAATAACAACAACAACATAAATAATAATGATCAGAAGCAATAAGAAAGCAACATACAAAGTTTATCCTTGTCCCTCTTCTCAACTAAGAGAAGTCAAGTTCCCTTGTTTCAACAAGAGCTTTTCACTATAATCAAACTGATTACACTTTGCTTAAACACACTAGAAAGAGACTTCACTTCTCAATCAATCTAGAAAGAGACTTCTGCTTAAGCAACCTAGCAAGAGACTTCTGATCAATCAACCTAGAAAGAGACTCCACTGCTCAAGCACACAGGCAAAGACTTCACTGCTCATACAGGAAAAGACTTCATATACTTTAAACAAACGATTTAGTAGAAAAGATAACCATTATACTTAGATACACAATCAAAAGTATAGCAGTTGTGCAACAACCACATATGTTCTTAACCTTTTAAGATTTCTAAGATAAACAAAGATAAGAAATATGAAGATCTTATGCAATAATAGTTACAAATAAAAGCTCAGAGTTATGCTTAAGATATTGTATTGTGTTGTTGTGACCTTCTGACCGGTGAAATAGCAAGTGTACTATTTTTACCGATGTAGTAATAAGGGAAAATTCCCCGAATGTCGATCTCAAGGACTGCTTGACGATATAGAATTCTAGTTTTATGTTAGTTAAACAAAATCCTTGGGGTTCCAAAGGTTTTAATTTGTAAAAATAAAATACAAAAGGCAAAAAGAGTAAAATAAAGGTTTTGAACAGAAGGAGAAGCAATGCTAGGGTAGGGGTATGAACTTCCTTGTAATAACACTAATCCTAAGTCACGAAATCACCGCTCAATTCCATCATTACCGGTTTTAAAGATTAGTTGACTCTAATTCCTTAGCAGAAAACCCTTTGGTATTTTCCCTATACCCCAATTCTTTGGCGGTATAGGAACAACACTAAGCAATTTGTTTGATCTAAAACATTACGGTTACTATAGGGTATCCCCATTCCTAGGCAATATCTACTATAGTATTATTGTATAAAAGCGTTAACAATCGTTTTTCCAAACCTAAAGTTAACCATAAATTGAATCCTATTTGTCAGATAAGAAAACCCTTAAGAACATTATACAATAACAACAATGATTAGAAAGCAGTGAAATCACTAATTCAAAGGAAACAAGGTCATTACAGAGTCAACTCAGGGATACCCCATAGCATTGGAGGGTTTAGCTATTCATAACAATTAAAAGCAATACAGAATAAAAGATAAACATTACAAGATAATCAGATTGTCTTGATCTTCAATTGCTTCCGCGCATGAAAACCTTCAGTTCTCCAATACTCTGGATCTCTCTAATTCTGATCGTATCTTTTTCTCTTCTCCAAAAGTCTCCTCTCTCAATTCACGATGTGCCTCATATAGCAGAATTCTAATTACAATGCGAAATGTCTAAACTGCCCTCCGAGATTGCACACCAAAACTTAATAAAACTAATGCTGCAGGTTCAAACGAAAATCTGAAAAAATTTGCTCCGTATCTGACTTCAACTCCAACACAAAATTCGTAGCTCTTTTTCTTAGCTTTCCGGCGATTATTAGAACGCCTCAAACAGATTTCCGGAACTCCAATTATGATCGTTTCTGTGCAGACTGCTAAAGATTTTACTTTCAGTAGCCCTGACACGGGCAGTGTCACACGACACGGGCACCCGTGTCAGGCTGCTAGTTCTACATCAAAACTCTTCCGAAATCTTGCCATTTTCCCCGGTTTTCACTCTGCTTCTCCTTTATTGTTTACCTGAACCTAGAAACAATGAAAACACCAAACCAACGCGTAAAATGCAATAAAAACACATAAAATGCGACAAGATAAAACAAATGATTAACAGAAACAAATAGTAAAATAACGTGTAAAAACCACCGATCACCTTCCTTCAAATCTCCAACTTCCTTTTATAGAGGCAGAAAAAGAGTCATTGGAAGGTTGAGCATAAGATCTAACTTAGGGAAGAAGCATGCCAAGAAAAATGTTGAAGGATGTCTCTGGCTAGAACTATTGTTCATTGAAAAAAGGCATTGTTCATAACACCTTTCGAAGTACTAGGTATCTATCAAAAGATAGAACATACTGAAGAGGTCACATCACCATTCTTGAGCCTTACAAAATGAAATGCTAGTTGACTATCTCCATAAATACAACACTTTGACAAGGCAGGTTTGCTTTTGGTACATGGTATGTATTAGAGACACCTTTAGCCTACAGAGTCTGAGCTATCACTAGAGGATGGAACACATGACCAGAGTATGAACCTTCAAAGGTTGATGAATACATTCAGAGTCACCAGATTCTAATCAATCAGAGTCATCAGATTCTGATCATTCAGAATCTGAGTTACATTGCTTCTCCACATATGATTTCAACAAGATTAATTCAGAGTGAACAAAGTGAATTCTAAGCTTTTGATCCTACACACTTTAACATATGTTAGTATACCTATTTATTCTTTAAATACTTTGTTATCATCAAAACCCAAGGGATATGAACAATCATGTTCCAACAATCTCCCCCTTTTTAATGATGACAAACAAATATATTTAGCGACAGTGGTTGGTTAGTTTAACTAACTTGAAAACACCAGGGTTTGGAGTTTGTAAGCTCCCCATAAGTCTAATATTCCAAAGATTGAGTTTTGTAAGCTCCCCCTAAGTTATATCCAAGTTAATTTCAACTTATTTTGATAAAATAATGTTCAAATGAAAGTAATATCAAAATAGTTAAATAATTAGCGTTCATGTAAATTAAAAGCATTCGATAAATACTTTTAATCCTCTAAAAAACTTGCATGAATTTCTCCCCCTTTTGTCATCAACAAAAAGATAATAAATAGATACTGATGAGTGATAAACATATGTACCACAGACTTTAAAATGGTCAAAGGTATACTTTGACAGTACGATTTTCAAGGAATTGTAATCAAAGAAGGAAAAAAACTCAAAGAACACAATCTTTAAGATAAAAGAGATTTTAAACAAACCCCTATAAGAGCAGATGCAAAAACAACAGCAAATCACACAACTCTAGAGTTTCTCCATGTAGACACAAGAATGGGCAAAAGAAAGAAATTCAAGACTGACAAGAGAGATTTTGCAAAAGAGATATGCAATTTGATGAAAAAGGATGCAAGAAAAGAGAAAAATAAGGTCGAGGAATTAGCGAAGACTTAGAGATCCA